GGCTCTGTCTCAAAAAAAAAAAAAAAAAAAAAAATCCTCTAAGATAATCAATATTATTTCCATTTTAAAGATGAGAAAACAAAAGTCAGGCCTTGTAATACTTGCACAAAGTCACACAGTTGAAAGGTCCAGCTGACTCCAAACCTGGCATCTTCGAGGAGTCACCATCTCCTTTGGGGGCAAGGAAAATGTTTTGGAACCAAATGAAAATGTTTGGAACCAGTTTTGTGGCTGCACGACACTGCCAATGAGCTAAATGGCATTGGATTGTACATTTTAAAATGGTTAATTTTATGTTAAGTGAATTTCATCTCAAAAAAAGTTGCCATACCACCAAGAAGAATGACTAAACCAGAAGAACCATCAAGGTCAAGTTATATAGGAAAAAGACAAACCATTTGGTGTGCAAAGCCGCCAAGAAAGCTAAATGGGAAGGAGACGGGGAGGTTAATATTTATCAAGCACCTGATAAGTGCCAGGCACAGCCTCACACATTCTCATTTAATCCTCCCTCAGTATATTAGCTGTTTGGTTTTTCTTTTTAAATAAGATCCCTGGGCTGGGGTTGGAGAGATTTCTGTTCCCTTCTGCCATACCGTGTTAGTCAGGGTGCATGTGTGTGATCAGTGAAAGGGGAGAACACAGGCCAGAAAGGAGAATTGAGAATTAACACATTTCTCAGCCTGAGCTACACCAGCATGGAGGAGGGGCGGACAGTACCGGGAGGAGGAAGCCAATAACTTAGGATGCCTAGAGAAGGAAGTCCAAAGTTCTTGGCTTCAGATAGCCATATATGGCAGTCTTAAGAAGTAAGAACACTGGATGTTTGTGTAGGTTAGATTAAGAAGAAATAAGTCTGGGCTAGGCATAGTGACTCTTGCCAGTAATCCTAGCACTCTGGGAGGCCACCTTGGGAGGATTGCTTGAGGTTAGGAGTGTGAGGCCAGCCTGAGCAAGAGCAAGATCCCATCCCTACTCAAAATAGAAAAATGAGCCAGATGTCATGGTAGGCACCTATAGTCCCAGCTACTCAGGAGGCTGAGGCAGGAGGAGCCCTTGAGCCCAAGAGTTTGAGGTTACAGTGAGCTATGATGACACCACTGTACTCTAGCCTAGGCAACAGAGTGAGATCCTATCTTAAAAAAAAAAAAAAAGTTTGATAAGGTCTAAGAAATCTAAAAGGAAATGTAGATGGAGCTATGTGCAGTCCAATCTAAACCACAGTTAGATAGGAAATCAAGTTATAACCAAAATTAGCAAAACAGGTAACAGAATATATAAAATATAATGTAACAATAAATGTAAATGAACCAAATTATGTTCAAATGAGAAAAACAATCCCAAACCCTCTGCCACATGCCAGAAACATGTTTAAAACCAAAATACTAGGAAAAAATAATTCCAGATTATAAAAAGCATATACATATACACCATTACACTCTAGCCTGGGTGAGAGAATAAGACTCTGTCTCAAAAGAAAAAATAAATAACTGAATCTAACAAGATAAACAGAGTCACCATACAACTGGATAATCCTGGATCAGCCAAATGTCCTTTCCGAACTCTACCTCAGCAGGAAACAGAATGGAAGATTATTCTGTCCACAGAGGCATGTTCTTTTTTTTTTTCAGTTTGGCCGGGACCAGGTTTGAACCCGCCACCCTGGGCATATGGGGCCAGCACCCTACTCACTGAGCCACATGCGCCGCCCCCAGAGGCATGTTCTTATAGTCACTAGTTAGGGAGTCTTAAAAGACAAGTCATTCAGTTATCCGATTATTGCCAAAAAGAAAAGGGTTACAGGTCAAGTGTTTTGACACAGTCAGCTGGCTCACACCTAGGAGTCCTACACTATCCTAACATTTCATTTCCAATTTACCCTCAGGGAGTCACCAGAGAGTGAGATTGTGCAAAATTGAGTCCTTCCTCATTCTTTACTGAATTGTTTTTGTCTCTTCTAATGACCAAGACAGGGACTTGAAATCCGACATTCACCCCTTCATTGATAGGGACCAGCAAGAGACCCACGGAGGGGAAGCCATTTGTCCCAAAGCACAGCACCACCACCACGGGAGCCCTGGACCACCTGGCCCCAGAGGCTCCTGGAGCAGAAGCAAGATAGCCCAGCAGAGTGTGCCAGTCTGGGCTCTGCCACCTGCGGCATAGAAAGATCTTTGTTTTGTCTAAGAACATGGTGCTCTCTCTGACAGCTTCCAGACAGGGGACTTTTCCTTTTTTTTTTTTTTTTTTTTGGCCACAGCAGGAGTTTCCATAGGAAGAAGCCCCAAGCAGTGAAGTCTGACTCCAAGAGGTTCAGACCACATCGAAATGATTAGGAGACGTGCACCCAGCACGTTGAAGGAAAGTCTTGTTCCTGGGCCTTTCTCAAGCGCACATATGTCCGTGCCTCAAAGATGCAAAACAAACGTCAGCCCACCGTCCTGAGGATGGCCATCTAGCTGAGAATGAGGGTTCGGAACCAACCAGGGCTCTGTACAGAGTTGAGCATCTATTTGCAAGGCTGGTTTTTAAAGTGCATAAATGTTTTCTCATCCTTGGCTCTGAGTCATCCCTTTCGTTTTTAAACGGCTCCCAACTGCCTGAGCTTAAAACCCTTGGAGTGAGTTTGGACCAAATAGAAATAGGGACAGTTGTCCACCTGCACCT